TCTGGCTGGCTCCACTCCACCTCAGCTGCTGCTATTCTTGGTGATCATCCCATGGAACTGGGATCTCCTAAGTGCTGGGGCCTCTGCTACACCTGGGACTGCACTTTCACCAACAGCCTCTCTTGGACTCTCTTCAAGGACTCCAGCCCCACCACACAGTGCCAAGCCTCAACTGCTTTCCTTTGAAACAAGCACCACCTGGCTGACCTTACACTATCAACTTCAGCTCCTGGTACAAGGTGCAACAACCTTGGCGGCTTCTGGAACCCAGCTTCTGTGTGCTGACCCTGAGGACACACTTCCCAGAAGACTTCACCTCAGTGATGGTAGTTTCTTCTTGATCACTGCTAATTATCTCCGGCTGACCAGCATCCATTGTCCCAATAAAGCAAAAGTTTTATTTTAGTGGTTCTGGTCTCTTGTTAATCACAGCTTAAATTTTTCAGTCCCAGAATCTCAACTCAAAATCACAAACAGCCCTCATAGAGTCTTTAAGCTTCTCTCTGAAACTTCATAAGGCAGGCTGTCTCAGGGTTTCCACTGTTGTGAAGAGACACCATAACTACTGCAAACTCTTACAAAGGAAAACATTTCATTGTGGTGGCTCACAGTTTCAGAGGTTCAGTCCATTAACAACATGGTGGGCATTGAGGCATGCAGGCAGACATGGTGCTGGAGAAGGAACTGAGAGTCCTACATCTTACAGATAACAGAAAGGGATCTGTGCCACACTGAGGGAGGCTTGAGCAAAAGAGACTTTAAAGGGCTGCTCCCACAGTGACACATTTCCTCCAATAAGGCTACACCTACTTCAACAAAGCCACACCTCCTAATAGTGCCACTCCCTAGGAGCCATTTTCTCTCAAACCACCACACAGGTTCCCATCTGCACGACTCTCAACATTCTTATCTTCCAAGCTCCCACAGAACATTCACTGAGCTCTCAACACTTAATGGTCCTTCTATCCCAACGTTCTTCCACAATCCTCCCCAAAACATGATCAGGTCTGTCACAGCTATACCAAACTATGCTGGTCCCAATCTGTCTTAGTCAGGGTTACTACTGCTATGATGAAACATCATGACCAAAGCAACTTGGGGAGGAAAGGATTTATTTGACTTACACTTCCACATCACTGTTCATCATTGGAGGAAATCAGGGCAGAAACCTGGAGGCAGGAGCTGATGCAAAGGCCACGGAGGGTACTGTTTTCTGGCTTGTTCCTCATGGTTTGCCCAGCCTGCTTTCTTATGGAACCCAGGACCACCAGCCTAGGGATGGCCCCACCCACCATGGGCTGGCCCCTCCCCCATCAATCACTAATTTAAAATTGCCCTACAGCTGGATCTTATGGGGGCATTTTCTCAGTCAGGGTTCTGTCCTATCAGATAATCTAGCTTGTGTCAAGTTGGCATAAAATTAGCAAACACAGTGCCACTCTCACAGTCTTAAGAGGCTCAATACCTTCAGACTGGCTGCTTTGAAGCCTTGATTGTGTGCCCAGGGTCTAATCCAGTGGTTCCTAACCTTCCTGGTGCTGTGACCCTTTAATTTAGTTCCTCATGTTGTGGTGATTCCCCAACCATAAAGTTATTTTCATTACTACTTTATAATTGTGATTTTGCTACTGCTATGAATCATAATATAAATATCTGTTTCTGATGGTCTAAGGTGACCCCTGTGAAAGGCTCATTTGACCCCCAAGGACTCATAGGTTGAGAACCGCTGGTCTAACCCAAATCTGAAACAATTCAGGGGCTGGAGCTGAGGTAGAAACCACAGGTGGATGCTGCTCCACCCAGCTGTGTCTACCAGGCGGGGGGGCCACCTTCCCCCCTCTGAGACTCAGCTGTCCCTCTACAGCATGAGGACAGCTCCTACTTCTCCAAGTCAGGAGACAGCTACATTGTCTCTAATATCTGATACACATCAGAGGGTCCACCGGGCATCTGACTTCAGAGAGCTGGGCCTGATCCCAACTCTACCGGTGCCTGGCTGGATGACTCTGTCATGCCCCAGCACCACTAGGAACCTGTGTGACAGGCTCACCACTGAGAGCCACTGTAGATGGGAAGAGGTCATCAGTCCCCAGCTCGGGAGTGGCAAATTCAGGTGGCAGGTGAAGGCTGTGTTGTGTTGTTTTGTTTTAGGGAGAGTTTCCAACTTAGGATGGCCTAGCACTTTTGATCCCCCTGCCTCAGCCTCCTCAGTGCTAGGGTTGTGTGTGCCACCAAACCCAACGCATAGCTGGCTTTTATTTATTATTCATTGTATATGTATATACATGTGTATGAATGATAAAGGTGTATGTGTATGACATGTGTAGTTCTGTGCCTTCCACCGAGCATGTGTGGAGGTCAGAGGACAATATTCAGGAGTTGGTTCTCTCCATCATGCGGGTTCTGGAACCAAACTCAGGCTGCCAGCCTTCACGCGAACTCCTTTCCCCACTGCATCGTCCTGCTAACCCAACACTGGGTTTTTGTAACTGTCCAAGCTTGCACTTTCCCAGGGCAAAGCCCTCTGCTGAGCTCTGGCCAATTCAGTGAAGACAGGGGTGCAGGGAATAGCCCAGCATTACGCTACCCTGTGAGGGCCTTCCTTGGCCTGGAGCCCATCCAGCTCTTTCAGTCACAGGGCCACCAGCCATGGATGCTGGGAAAGAGAAAGCCACAAAGACCCGTCCTTCTCTTTGGGTAGACAGAGGGTATAAGAGAAACACCGCATTCAGACCAAGACCTGAGCCCACTCATTCCAACACCCAGAAGCCCCTTTGGAGGGTCGAGGGGTGGGCTCAGGATAATGGGGTTCCTCAGCCAGCAGGGTGGCCACCATGAACAAGAGAAGCCTCTTCCTTCCTTCCTCCCTCCCACCCTCCCTCCCTCTCTCCCTCCCTGCATTCATTCCAGAGCCCCCAGCAGCTGTCACCTGATGGCAGTGGGTAGGACAAATGTGAACAAGGCAGGTAGCTGCCTGCTCTTGGGTGTGGACAGTGGCACTAACACACCCCCAAGCAAGAATGGCAGGACTTGGAGAGGAAGAAAGCCAGGGGAAGGGCCACTTCAAAGGTGGGGAGGACTGTGGGAAGGCTCTGTGAGTGGGGCCAGCAGACCGACACCTGGAGCAAGCTAGGTGATGAGGACCAAGGCATCAAGGGAGGCCAGTGAGAAGGGCCAGGGGCCAGGGAAGCTACTGAGGGGGGCCAGAGGCCAGCGGACCAGGAGAGGCTGGTGAGAAGGACCAGGGACCAGGGGAGGCTAGTGAGGAGGGGCCAGGGGCCAGGGGAGGCTGGTGAGGAGGGGCCAGGGGCCAGGGGAGGTTGGTGAGAAGGACCAGGGGCCAGGGGAGGCTGGTGAGGAGGGCCAGGGGCCAGGAGATGCTGGTTTAACTCTGTGTGATTCACACAACACCCAAGAGATTCGGCATTGTCATCTCCTGCACTGGGCTGGACCAGGCAGACCAGGGGCAGGACTGGCTAGGCCCACCATTACTTCACCAAGGGTCCTTCCTTCACTGCTGCCACTGTAACAGGCTGGCCCAGAGGTGTCACTGAGCAGGCAAAGTAAGTGCTGCTAGCCCTGGTCAAACGCCTGCCCCACCCGGCACCTCACTATCCACCCAGACATCTGAGTTGCTTCACTGTTTCCAGCTAAAAGATCTGCTTCAGCCAGGCGTCTGGCTCATTAATCTCAGCACTTGAGAGCTGAGGCAGGGGAATTGCTATGAATTCAAGACTAGCCTGGGATGCATAGGAAACCTTGTCTCAAAAACTGAACCAAACAAAGATGAAGAACTAGTCGGAGGCTCAGAGAAGTAGCGCCGCTTTCCTAGTGTCACACAGCCAGCATATGGTAGAGCTGGCTTTGTACCCAAGTCTATCTGGGCTTTTTTTTTTTTTCCTCCCAGCCCACCCTTCTTCAGGCTGCAAGATGGGAAGGAGAGCAGAGAGCGGCAGAGAACAGGGCCCTCTAGCCCTCCTTGAGACGAAACAGGTCCCAGGGGGATGGTACCCTGGCCGCTCCATAAATAAGCATGTCCCTGGGCCCTGGTGGCTCTGTGTGTAATACAAACAGCTCTAATCCCCTGTCAGTTAGCCTGGATATCAGAGGAGACAAGCTTCCGAGAGCGGGGAGGCCTAATTGAATGGAATTGAAAAGGCAGAATGGGGGGTGGGGCCTGGGAGGAGGGACAGGAGCACGAAGTGGCCAGGAGCAGCTGGCTTGGGCTCCGAGGCTGGCAGGGCCTCATTCCAGCCCCCAGAGGCAGGGAGCCTGGCTGGGGGGGTTTGATGGGGTTGGTGGGGGGCCCCAGCCAGGGTGCTCCACCCCTCAGGCCTCCCCTTTATCTGCTGGCTCTGCCGTTTTCTCTCTCTCCCGCGCTGACCCTTTTTCTGCTCTCTCTGTTATCTCAAATAATGTCACTGCCTCTTTAGTATCTACTCATCAGAGCAGAAAGAAGCCAATACTGACACTGATAAAAAAAAAAATACCATCTGTGCCTCCCGGGGACACAGAGAGCTCAGTTTGGACCGCTGGCGCCCTGCCGCCCACCCTGCCATTTCACCTCACGAGGGTAATCAGATTCCACAGGGTGGGCAGTCCTCCCACCCGGGGCTCAGCAGTCCTCCCCAGGGCTGCTCTACTAAGGACTCACTAACAGGGCCTTTTCAGTTCACAGAAAGCTTGGCCTGGCTTTTTTTTTCTTTCTTTCTTTTTAATTGGTTTTTCACTCCTTCTTGGTAGTATTTAAAAACTGAGTTGTACTATAGCAGCCTGATTTTTGGAATCTCTTTTTCAGACTAGATAGAAGAGCCGGGGATGGTGGTGGACGTCCGTAATCTCAGTATGTGGGAGGTGGGAGCAGGAAGATGAGGAGTTCAAGGTCATCCTCAGCTACTTGGTGAACCAGAGGCCAGCCTGGGCTGTATGAGACTCTGTCTCCAAAATAAACATACATAAATAAAATAAATAATAAATAAAACCAAGTAGAGGGCCAGGGCTGGAGCTGACTGGTCTTTATAAGGTGTGTGAAGAAGCCAAGTTCAACACCGGGACCTGACCTGACAGAAAGGCATGGGCAGCAGCCTCACCCCTACTCCAGGATAACAGCTGGCTGGGGCTAAGGTCAGGCAGCACCCATTGCCCCTTTTCCAGCTAGGCTGGAAACTTTGGGTGTAAGGCATCTGAGCAGATTTCTCAGGTTTATGTTAGAAGCCATGGAAATCAAGGCCAGGACACAGGCTGGGACTGGAGACCAAACCCTCAGAAATAGCAGGGAGACCGGGGCCCAGAGAGGGCAAGGCACTTTCCTGGGCCACACAGCAGTGCAGAAAGCAGCTCCCTGAATAGTGCACTCTTCAACTCTGTGAGACAGGTGGGAAGCCCTGAACTCGGTATCTATGCCTCACATGCCAAAACGTCACATGACTCCTGCATCTAGTAGCTTTCTGCCCTTTGGGGCTGACTCTGGTGAGCACAGAGGGCTGCAGTGGAGGGACAACAGCTGAGGGAAGCAAGGTTATGTTAGCTTCTGCCCTTTTTCCAGGCCTTAGGTCTGGCTGAGCTCTGTGTCCTCAATCCTCTGGGAAGCCTGGGCTAACATCCCAGCTTATTGCAAACACACTGTGTCCAGGAAAGGGTCATTCCCCAGCTCCGTGTCTGCCTCAATGTCCCTATCCACCGCGTGCATCTTTGTGGCTGTGTTGGGGGATGGTCTTGACAGACTCTGTTCTTTGAGGCAGATGGCTGGAGATAACCTGGAGGGATGAGTAGGAGGGCCACTTGATGGCTGCCAAGGACAGGCTAGTCCATGTGCTGAAGGCCCCCACACTACAGGGTCATAGGGGGCGTGGAACAGATGTGTTGTCTTGGCAACAGATGGCAGGTGCATGGGTCCAGGAAGCCTCTTCCTCCAAGGTCGAGTCCTCCAACTCCCAGAGCCCTGGCAATCTGGCATGAGGGCACCACGGCTGAGGCTCAGTGTCCAGCTCAGCACAGCCAACCCCGCCTTGCTGCCGGCCGCCCAGAAGAGCAGAAAGGACAGCTCTTTCCCCCTCTCTCATCCAGCCTTACCTGTTAGAAAGTGACCGGGGAACCCCGGCTTCGGCAGCTGCTGTTACAAGATTTGAAGCCTGGGTCTGCTGCTCTGGGCACAGGTAACCTCTTTGAGCCTCAGTTTCCCCTGTAAGAACAATAGCAGCTCCACTTCCTGAATGCTTGGACTGCATGTGATGTGGGGGGATGTACTGGGCCATGAAACAAAGCCAAACCCCTCTGAGTACAGAATTCACAGAATATCCAACAGTGGGCAGGTAGAGAAGACACGAGGTCCTGCCATAGTGACCAGACATATTTTCTATGGATAGGAAGACTGAGGCCCAGAGAGGGCAAGATAATCTGCTTCCAGTCACACAGCAAGCTGCCTCTCCTTGCCTTGTCTACATCCTGGTCACTCTGTCTCTCTCACAATGTCTCATCCACCAGCTGAGGATAAAGGCAGGCAGTGGGTCCCCAAGGGCAGGACAGCTCCTGTCTCTGGGGCTTGGCCCCTTCCCTGAACACAGTAGGATGCTCACAACTCAGGGGCAGAAAGAACCTGCCAGCCTTGGTCATTATAGGGAGGCAGCATCTTTCTCTGGGTAGATGGGGGTCTTGGGGGGGCTGGGGTACCCTGGGGTTCCCTGCCTCAGCCTACACATCATGAAAGGGTCTTTGAATGATGCCTTCCTAGTCATATAAACGTCACAGTGAGAGGGCATGGGGAGTCAGGCAGAGCACAGCCCAAAACAGGCTCACTTGGCAGATAACCCATCTGGTCAGTACATGAGTTTGCCCCATTAACTCATGCACTCAGGCCTTCCTGTTCCCCCCCTTATGCAAGGAGGGAGCTGGGGAGGGGTTGGGAGGAGAGGAAACCTGTGACCCCTTTGCAGGGCCCCAAGAGGATCCAGCTGCTGGAGGCCAGCCTACCCTCCTTTACCTGCAATCTCGTTCATCACACAGGTCTATGGGGAGGAAAAAACCAAATGAGACAGAAAACTCAAGTTTGACTAGATGTCTCAGTCAGGGGCTCCAGACCCTGAGCCCTTCAAGAGTCTCAGGCAGCCTGGTGAGGGCCTGGCACAGCTGTCTCTCATCCAAAAAACAGGCTCTGGTCAGCACCAGGCAGGCTGGCAGGGATCAGATCCAAACCAGCCACCCAGCCTGTCTGAGGGCACACCTGTCCAGCTGCCTCTCTGTAAAATGGAAGGGTCGTTCTGCCATTACCCAAGATGCTCTACCCAGAAACTTAATGGCCAAGGGCAAATCCCATTGGCTGATCAATGTAGTCAAGTTTTATTTTTGGTCTTCTCCCTGCCTAGTGAGACCCTGCACACCTTCCACATACCACTAGAAATCCCACACTGCATTGCTGTGGACTTCAGACAGGGGGCTGTTAACTCTGCAAGCTGTACCACAGGGGCTATCACCAACCAAGATGTTGAGCACACTGCCTGGCATTTTGCATGTGGAAAAAAACAGACCCAGAACAGGGAGCTAGAGAGGATTCCCTGCGCCAGGCTAGGCAGGGTGGGCAGAAGTGAGGCGGAGATGGTCTTGTGCAGCTATGGAAAAGTAATGACAGAAGACAGCATGAGACAGCGCGCTGTGCAACCTTCAGCGGGTCTCTTGCCCTCTCTGGGAATAGTTTCCTCAACAATATCTCCAAGAGTTCCTCTAAGCCAATTCTTTAGGACTGTGATGACCACAATCACACATCCCTTGGGTGACACTGGGGGCAACTGCGTGTTTGTGCATTTGTTGGAAAAGACACTCAACACGTGAGCTCCTTCATTCGTGTCAGGCTTCCCTTGTAGGTGGGGTAGCCGCTCTAGGTTTACTGCAGAGAGAATGTACATGTCCTCGACAGGTCCACTTCTCTGCTCTGGTGTCAGCCAAGGGGGCTCTTAAACACCAGAAGCAATGAGGACTGAGAGGAAAGTGGCTGAGCTGGGCCGTGCATGACAAGCTGTATTGCCCGGAGTTTGGAAGGAAAGGGCTGGATGATTGCCCAGGTAGATCTGACATCACAAAGACATGTGTTTACCCCCAGCTCTGCCCCTTGTCTGCTTCAAGAGCCTGGGGCAAGTCCTTTGTCTTCCTATAGCCTCAGTTTACCTAGTAATAGGATGGGGACAGCCCTATCTCACAAAGACAAGGCATATTAAGTAAGTAGTCTGTATTGGACTCATCGTAGGTACTCTGTGACGGTTCACAGCGCTTGGGGCCTCCTGAAGCCTGGGCATGGGCTAATTCGGGATAGCACAGAGATGGGACACCTGTGATGAGAATGATGGCACACAATGGAGTGTGGTTGGGAGTGTGCGTGGAGGCTTCCTGTGATGGATTAAAAGGGATTTAGTGATGTGTGAGGCAGACATGGGGCACTTAACATGGTTCTGGACACTTGGGAGCCAATTGTGGGAAATATGCAGGTAGCCTGGGCACCAGAAATTGGAATATACTGGCACAGAACGGTGACTACACACCAAACCAGCGGGTAGCCAAGGCACGAGGAAGGTGGAAGGTAGTCACACTGTGTGGCTTGAGACGGTGGTAATTTGGTTTTCTTTCTCATGCTCATCACAGTGAATTCACGTGACTGAAAACTTTGAGAGGGAGGGAGGGAGAAAAGCAGATGGGGAGGGAAAGAGAGGGAGGGAGGGAATGGGAGGGAGAGAGACAGAGAGGGAGAGAGACTCACTACACAGTCCTGGCTGGCCTGGAACTTCCTATGTAGACCAGGCTGGCCTCAGACTCAGAGAGATCTGCCTGCCTCCGCCTCCCAAGTACTGGGATTAAAGTTGAGCATCCCCAGGCTCACAGTTATGTGAAAACTGTGAAGACATTTCTGGCTCTGGCTGCAGAAGTGGCTCTCTACTCCTCACAGCAAGATGGCTGAGAAGGCCATCCAGAATAAGCTGGGAGCCAGGCAGCCAGGAAAGGAGCGACTGCAGGGTGCTAGGTGTGAACTGAGGTGCCTGACCCACAAAGACAAAACCAGAGAGCAGAGCCAAGCAAGTGGAGGTCGGCAGACCAGCAGAGCCTGCATCATACACTGGCCAGTAGCGTCGGGAACATGAAATTCACTGAGAAAGAGCATCACCCGTGGTGTCTGCAGCCTGCCTCCCTACTGGAGACCCTGCTGTACACAGGAGGGCGGCAGCGACACTGTCCTATGCCTGGCAGAGGGTGCCAGGCTGTGTCAGCTCTGAACAGAGAAGCAAGGAGGGGCCAAGCTGGGTGGCACTAACAATTTTTCCAACAGTGAACAGAGAGAAAGGTGTCTCTAACTGGCAAGGCTGGGGTTTTAACCAGCACCGAATGCTGCTGAGGTTTCTGGAAAACACCTTACCATCCTGCGGCACAGGACTGCATCGAACATTTAGTGAGTGCTCACGGTGTAGCCGGCACAGTGCCAAGTGCTTGCTGTGCGTTCTCTCACCCAGTCTTCACACTACCTCTGTAAAGGCAATTCCGTTCACCTAAGGGAAAGTCTCCAAAGATGACTTGGCCCAAGGCCACATGGCCAGAGGGTAGCAGAGCTGGAATGGAGTCTGCCAGAGCTGAGCTCAGCCACCACGTTGGCATGCCAGAGGTGACCTTGTGGTCCTTTGGTTTTGTGACCTTGGGCCTGAGTGTACACTGGAATTATCCAGGAGCTTTAAAAGCTACCAGTGGTTGGCAAGATGGCTCTGTTGGTAAAGTCAGTGGCTCACAAGCTGGCTCAGGGGGCAAAGGCACTTACTGCCAAGCCTGATGACTTTAGTTCAACCCACCAAACTCATATAGTGGAAATGAACAGCCTCATACAAGCTGTCTTTTGCTGTAGTGCACACACACACACACACACACACACACACACACACACACACGTAAAAAAAAAAAAAGATAAAAAGATAAAGCCTGAGCTCCACCCAGACCAGCAAGGGCAGCAGAATGTCCAAAGCAGGCAGGGGACAGCACTCCTGGGTCTTTTTGAAGCTCAGGGGTGACTGAGAACAAATGATACCACTGCATGACTATAAGATTAGTCATGGCTGCAAAGGCCTATGTGACAGGTGGCTGTGTATGGTGGCATTAGGAGTATGGGGTGCCCACAACAGCAGCTGAGATAAGTGGCTACACTGGCCAGGACACACAGATGGCTGCTTGCTGAGGGCCAGGGCATCATGTCAGCATTGGTTGCTGACACCCAGCCCCCAGGGAGCATGAGGATCTCAGTTTGATAAGCCCACTCAGTGCCATAGTCCCCACCTGACTGCAGGCCTGTCCCATGGCTGCAGTCCCAGCTGCTCAAATTGCCTGGCGATGAAAACATGTGGGTCTTCGTGCTACAGGTGGTACAATCACAGCCCAAGGGGGAGTGGTGCCAGGGCAGGGCAAGTTGAGGGCTGGCTTTGGAGTCAAATGGCCTCCAGAGGCTGGTCGGCTTTGTGGCTTTGGACAATTATCCAACATCTCTGAGCTCTGGCTTGTTGGTTTGTGAGATGAGCATGGATGGTACTGCCCATTATGTTGTGAAGTTGGGCACAGAATGGCCCACGACTTCTCAGATGAATAGTATTGCTTCGTGCATTACTTGTTTCTGAAGGGCAGGGGCACAGACCTGCCAAGAAGTCTGCAGTGACCTCCTGGTGGTGTACTCCAGCCCAGGTCCCACCTACCCTCCTCCCGAGGGTGCTGGGAAAGGCATCAGCTGCCCCCTAGCGGCTGAGGGCAAACACACACTGAGTCATGGGAAACAAACTAAAAAAACCAAAACAAAAAGACAGAATGGATGTCCTAGGCCTTAAATTCATTCCCAAGGCTTCAGAGCTGTGCACATTGGGTGGCGCTCGATGTATCCAAGCTGTGTTGTGACTGAGGCAGATATGTCCTTGTCCCTACTAAGCCCCAGAACTCCCAGAGAAGGGGGAGGGTGCACCAGAAAAGGGAGAAGGAGGAGGAGGAGGAGGAGGAAGAGGAGGAGGAGGAGGAGGAGGAGGAGGAGGAGGGAGGAGCAAAGTACACCGGTCCTACCTTCCCACAGGGCCTGAGGCTTTGCCTGTGCAATCTCTCTTTATTTCCCCCATGGGAAGCTTCCCCACAAGTACACATGGAGACAGAACCGTCAGCAAGCCTTGGCTCAGCTGATGATCCCTGGGTGAGGACGACAGACAGGAACCACACTGGCCAGGCAGTTCCTAAGGAGCCTTCAATGGCTGGACAGAAGAGTGCATGGCTAAGAGCCAGAGAGTTTGAGTGAGGCAGATGGAGGCCAGGCCTAGGCAGATGCACCCATCAGGGATCCAAGGCGAAGGCCTGTATCAGCCTGCCAGCTCAGGAGATCCCACGACTGATGTCTGTCTGGCTTCAGGAATGCCAGCATATAGACAGGACACTGAGGTGGCATCTCTCAGAGTCTAGAAGGTGCTACCAGCAGGAAAGGTGTCACCAGCCAGCACAGAAGCCAACTCCGGTCCCATAATGCTCCAGTGAGAGGCTTCTTGGCAGGACTCATTGTCACATCATCTCAGAGGCCCAGGGCTTGTCGAACAGGGTCATCTAAGGAGGCAGCCAAATGCATAGAGACCCCAGGCGCTCCGATGCTGGTCTCCCAGCAGTCAAACCCACAGCCGGTCAGGGCCTGCTTAGCGTCCTCCACTTTGGCTCGCTCTAGACCTGGAGATGGAAGGCAGTCAGCCCTGAAGGATGACATGCTGACACGCGGCAGACACTCCCACCTCTGGGGTAAAGTCCTTTTGCTGTGCATCTTGCAGCTTCACTGCAGCACCTATGAGCCATGTGCCAAGCCCTACACCCTCCTCATGGGCTTTAATCACCTGGACCCAGCCTTGCCATCCATCATCTGGTCACGTAGCCTTAGGCTTAATCCCCATATGGGCTTCAGTTTCCGTAACTGGGAATGAGGCTGACAGTGGCCACTCCCCCACCCTCCCACCAGAGTGCCTGGCCAGTACCTGGTATACTGGACATGCTCTCATAGCATTTGCTTATAATCAGCATTGGTTCTGGAACAGTAGCTACCACTCAGAGCCTCCTAGAGGGAGACCCCTGCACTCCCTGAAGCCAGAAGCCACTACCAAGAGCAAGGGGCTTTGGGAACCCTGGTGGGTTGTACAAAGTGAGGAGACAGAGGGATGAGAAAAAGGATGAGGGCAAGCAGGCTGGAGTCGGTGGGTGGTATCACTGATGCCTACCGTATGCCGGCAACAAGAATTCCTTGCACCCGGCCTGGCCTCGGGCTCCTTCCCTCAAGTCTACTTGAGGGGGTCTTTCCCCCAAGCTAATGAGCATGGCTACTTCACTCTGTCTCTGGGTCAATCCTATCACTGTTTCACAGTAAGACAGGAGCCTGCCCTGGTTGTTTCTGAAGCTTGTGGTAGGAGGTGGCATGAACAGCCTAGGGCAAATGATCTTTCTAGCTATAAGCTCCTCCCTAAGCAGGAGGGACAGTCCCTCAGCCTACCTGCTGTCATGCTTGTCTTCCCAGAGGAAACAAAGGCACAGTGGGGTTAATTAACTGGCCCACAGTCACAAAGCAGAGCTCAAGTCCCCCTTTCTAGGGAATCCTGCAACGGATCTTCCACCACGGTCTGGTATGTGTTAGCAACATTCTCCCCAGCCCCATCAGTACCTGGTTTTAGGAGGGTGATGCCGCAGCCACCGCCACCTGCGCCTGTCAGCTTGCTATGAAGTCCGTGTGCCGCTGTGATCCGGCAGAGCTGGTCCAGGGAGGTGTGGCCCACACCCAGGGCATTCAGGTGGTGCTGGTTCATGTCTATCAGCTCCTGGAGAAGGTGCCATCTGTTCCTGCCTAATCCACCCGAGGCAAACCCTCTGTCCCAGCCGGCATCTCCTGTCTGCCCAGCAGCTGCTGCCATGGGACAGCTCATGCCCTCAACATGGGACTTAGGTCATGATCAGAACCAAATTCATCCTCCCACCATGGAGACCAGTATCGAGCCTGGCCCTTGTGACATATATGGAGCAGGCACATAATCTACACTGGTCCAACAGGGAAAGGGTCCCCGTCACTGGAATGGCTAAAACTAGTTGACTTCAGACACTGACCACCTAACCTATCCACCTGCCATATGGTCACAGATCACACGACAGATTCCTAACCACCTGGCTTTACTCTCTGGATCAAACCATGCTTTAAGCCATCACCACTGGCCCCATACTTGGATGGTTCTTTTTCTGCTAAAGGCTCATGGGGACAGGTTTGCCATTTGCGAGAGAAAAAAGTCTCACACAATATGACACTCTACTGCTGCCCCCTGGGCTGGTTTTCAGAATAAGAACCAAGTTGTCACAGGTTCGCAAGTCACAAGTGAGAAAATAGCTAAATATTTGTCTAGGTTTCTGCAATTGTGTGCAATAAAAATGTTGCTTGCCAGCCAACAAGGAGCGCGTGGACAAAATGCTAAAGGCAGCTGCTGTTTGCCTTTTATTGGATGATGGATACAGAGGCATACTGGAGAAGCACACCCAGACAGGCTCTACACTTCCTCCTGGGCCTGGGACTCAGGCAGACTGGGGTGAGACTGGGCTCTGCCCTTCTTAGCCCTTAGGAGGAGCCCTTTGCTAGAGTGTGTCTCCCATGGAAACAGATGGTATGAGGTCTGCCTGCCTCCTGGCTGTGTGAAGGGAAGGGCTTTTGCACAATGCCTAAGCTGGGCAAACATTCTGCTATCAGTGTGTGTTACCATCATCTCATTTTATAAAAGGGGCACTGAGGGCCAGGGGCAAAAAACCTGTCTGGGACCACCCATCTAGTAGGTAAAGAATCAGTGCCAGAAGCACTTCTGCTTGCAAGAATGCCCTTGGCATTTCCATTGCCTCCTCTTGCTCAGGGAAGCTGGTGTGGCTTGTGCTGTGCAGGGCTCTGCTCTGAGCTCTGAGCTCAGGATGCCTGTGCACTAAGGGCTGACCAGCACCCAGGCAGCTCTGCCAGTCTCTCAGTACTTCCCAGTACTCTGACAAACAAACAGGCAGGCAGTGTGGCCTGGTGGCAGCCCTGGGTGCCTTTCACAAGCCCCGGGGGCCACATGTGGAGAAGATATCTGGGGCCTCTCAGTGCCTGAGCTCCAGGTGTCATGTTGTCAAGGCAGGTTCCAGACATCTGTCACATTCTGATCCAAAATCTGCCAAGGATCAGATGACAGGCTGTGACATGAGAGAAGAGCTCGCTGGTTCATGTGCAAAGCTGTCCAAGAATGGAGCTGTGCACTTCAGTGGCTGTGGCAGCCAAAAATACCAAAAATACTGTGTAATCAGTGTACTGTTCCCCGGCATTCTCTGGGCTTGACAGTGCACACGAGGGCAGTTCCCTATCTTTCTTTCCTGCTCAGGTCTGTGATCCTGAACATGGAAGGAAATGGGAACTGGAGAAGCAAGGCTTGGGGACTGCAGTAGGTCGCCAGGGAAATGAGGACAGAGGCTCCAGATTATATGGAGGCCTTGTGCCCGGCGCACAGTAGGTTCTCAGTAAAGCGCTGTGAGATTCTGGGTGCACATTGTAGGCACATTTCTGAGTCTGAGGCTCATCTGGTCTACACAGAGAATTCTAGGCCAGCCAGGGCTACACAGTGTGACCGTGTCTCAAGATATAAAAATGGATAAAATCTATTGAGTAGAGGTATACACAGGTATTAGTTTGGGTCCTGGCTCTGCCACCCACTAGCTCGGTAACACAGGAGAAGTCGGCCATTTTGGACCTCAGCTTTTATGCCTGTAAAATGGAGACACAGGTAGCTGCAAGGAGCAAGAGTGACATTACCCTGGGAGGCTGCATACAGAGGTGCCAGGAGGGACAGAGATTGCAGCAGGGATTACAGGACAGTACTAGAGGCCAATCAGAGCAGGAGTGTGCTGGGCCATCTGGAAGGGACCCTGCCTGCACCTTCATATGGCTGCCGCTGCTCGGCTCTTTCAGCCAGGGCTGCAGGGTCCCCTTGTACTCCAAGGCCAGATGGCATTTTACCATCAGCCTGATTCACCAGACCAGATGGCCCATGTCTGAGAGGGAGTCTTTGGCACATGTCTGAGAGGTGAGTGGTGGCACATGGGCACTGGGAACAGGAGACCCTGAAACTGTAACAAGCTTGTGGCACACCAGTGAGGACACTGGCCTGCAGTGAATAAAGGAGAATTCAGACACTAGTCGGCTCAGACACTGCCCTTGGAGTCTCTGTGCTATACTAGAATTACATGAAGTTGCTGGCCACAGTTAGAGGACCACAGAACAACTTCAGAACCCACCTGACCAGAAGTGACAGGTGGCTGTTGAGTGGACACCCAAAGCAAGCACAGATCAGAAGCAGGAAGGCAGGCATCTCCCCAGGACAAATAGAGAATGGGGGTCAGCAAGGTGACATGTCTGCCCACATGGCTGCTTCTCAACCTTGTGACCTACACCTGCCCACAGGACCAGGCTTCCAGGTAAGACATGCTTGCCCACATGGGCACACACATGCTCAGGGACCAAGCCTGGGCCATCTAAGGACAGGGGGAGACACTACTTGAACAGCAGCAGGGTGAGGAGCTAGCCAGTGGCGGGCTTACTTCTAGAACAAGGTACTGTTCCGGGGCTGGAGCTGCCACCATCTCTCCTAGCACACGCTCACACTCCAGGGATATGGCGTCAATCGAGGTCAGGAGCGGGGTCACAATCTCAGGGAACTGTGGGGAAGGAAGGACAGAACTGTGAGATCTAAGGACACGGGAGAACCCTGCTGCAGCATCCACATCAGCCCTCGGGAATCTCCCCTGACTTTGTCCTTCAGTTGCCCTGACATCTGCAGGGGCATCCTTGTCACAAAGCCAGTGTGGCTACAGGGGCAGGCAGCTTCCAAAAATCTCTATCCTGACACCAGCCTGGCAGTGACCACAGTTAGCACCTCCCTTTCTGTCCACACTACCTCCTCAGATTTCCCTGTCCCCAACACCCACGGCACCCCTCCATCCAGGAGCACCTTGAGTAGCCTGCTTCTGACGCCAGCCACGAGGGCCTTGGTACTCCGTGGGACCTTGGTGTTAGTGAGCAGGATTTGCAGGGCCGGGAGCCTGTGATGAGAAGAAAGGCAGGATGGAGGAGCCAGGCCAAGGACTCCACCCCATCCTGGTACAGAAGAAGTAGAGGCCCAGGAAGGTATGGCACAGGGACAGCAACACAGGGGACCCCAGCTTAGTCTCCAGACTAGCAGTCAGAGCAGGAGGAAGGCTTCACCATCATGAGGTATAAGGACTGAGAAGGGATAAAGACCACTAGGGGCAAAGGTTGGGGCAGAGTAGCATATTCTGAACTTGGAGGTTGCAGGTCATGACCCCTCATCGGGTTGTAAGTTTAAAGTGGCTATGGTAGAGTGTGGGAGGGTCAGAGGCCAGTGGTACCCAACCTTGAAGGTTAGGTGGGGGTGGTGGGGGGCACAAGGGGAGAAATGCTCCAGGTCTCAAGGTTCTGGGAACTCAGAACTGTCTGCATGGATGTCACTTGCTGACTGTCCTTAATCTAAACCTGAAATGCTCTCCCATTGAAAAACCTTGGTACACCATGTTTTTGATTTCTAGCTTAGGGGTGCTTGTTCTTCTGCCAGGCATCTGTGGTGGCCCCTGTGGGAGGGAGCAGGCAGGCAGGACTGCAGAGGCCCCCCTGCCCCTCCCCACACCCAGGAGCCCATTCTATAGTACCCAGAGCAGCAATGTGGCCACAGCAGCCTAAGCTCCAGCTGCTGAAGAGAAGAACTCCATCTGCCTGAGGCTGCAGGAGACGGACTCCCCAGCATAGCCCACGAGGAGCTGTATGGTCCTGACTGTCCTGTGCAAGCCGTTTCTGAAACCAGTCCTCTTGTCTGCCATCCACTCTGAGCTATGGCAGAGAACCTGGGTGTGCCCCTGTGGAGACAGCTGGAGGCTGTGGAACCCACACCTTATTCACCCCCTTTACAGCTCAAGACTGTAAGATCCAGTAGAGGTGGAGAGGTTGCTGGCCCACTGTCTCACTGCCTGGAAGCCAGGAAATGATTGCCACCCTGGAGGACAGTGCTCGTCTTTTCTAAACTTTCTAAGATAAGCAATCTTTTCCCTCCCCGTTAAAGACCACCGCCTGTCACTCAAAACAGGCAGTGTTCAGGGAGGCTGGACCTGGAGCCACACCACAAACAAGGTGCCTTTTACGGAATGGCAGCATGTGTGATTTTGGGGAGAAGACCTCTTAAGCCAGCTGTAGGATGAAGGCAGGGCTGCTCTGAGCCTTGCCCAAGCCTCCCACCAAGGACTCCAGCACAACGCTCCTTTTTGTTCTATGTTGGCTTCCGTATTTACCTGTCAAACCCCAACCCAAACTCACCCTCATTCCCAGCAAGAGCTCCCAGAAATCAGCCTGAGAGGTTCATCTATGTTCCCGGGCTCCAGAATGTATCATTAGGAAAAGGAAGGCAGTGTCTGCTGTTTACTACAGGAATGGACAGACAGGGTCTGGGAACCAGTTGTTCTTCAAGGGGAAGGGACAGCCGCACGTGACTTTATTTTCACCTTTAATGGCAATGAAGAGTTGGCACAGTGGAGGAAAGACAATGGCTATGCAGGCCTCACATTGTGGTACAGCCACAGCAGGAAGGGGACACAAGGACACCCACCCCTCCCAACTTCACAAAGGCAGGCATAGTGCTGTTCCTGTTTATGTGAAGAAGCTGTGCTAGGCACAGCCATGAAGCCTAAGTTACCTCTTCAAGGATGACATCTTCCCTTGCTGGTATCGCAGGGCTCCTCCTAAAGAGAGGGACAGCAGCTATCATCATGGGGAAGGCTCAGATTTGTATTCTGGGACAGCATACGGTCATTGTGGCCTCATGACATGCCAGGCTGAATGTGGCACCCATCCATTCCAGCTTCAGCTGGGGAGGACCCAAATGATATTAAGGCCCTGGGGACCTTGGCCTTCTGAGCTGCCGGCTTCCTCGGCCATTGCCCGTGTAGTGAGGTTAAGGCCCAGGGCTCAGCAGCTAGGCCTGTCAGCAATCGTCTCGTCAAGATGGAACTTTGTTTTGTGGTTTGCCAACAACATTGCAACAGTTCCCTGTGACTCTCAAAGAAATCAGTAGGGTTTTTTTCCCAGGGCCTGAGCCCACCCTTCAGATAGGCAGAGCCCTGAGATCTTCCTTCCCCTGGAACAGGAACAGGCTTCCTCAGAGGCCCCATGTAGTCACCCCAAGCCAAGAGGCGAGGCACCTACCAATGTAATGAGCCTCCCAGGAAGGATGAGGAAGCAAACACACCTACCCCAGGTGCTGACAGCGTTGTCTACTCCAGAGGGGTTCCCATGGATCACTCTCTCTCCCTCATAGGCCCACTTGTTAATCGACTCCAGGTCCTCCTCAGACCACCTGGGCACACAGGCAATTTTTAAAAATCCTATAGGAAAGGCAGGGTTATCCCCTTCCACAGAGGGAAACTAAGGTTCAGATAGTTAGGACAGTGTTCCGAGCCACACTGCTACTCACTGCTCCATTACAGGAAAGACAGTGCAATGACAGTCATTACCTGCTGATGGCATCCCTGTCCTTGAGGGGATTGGTGATATTCTCACAGGCAGTCAGGAGGGCAGCCACCAGACACACCGAGTAGGCAGCACTGGAGCCCAAGCCTGCCCCAGGTGGCAGTTCTGACCAAACCACAATGTCCAGGCTCGGAAGTACCCTGAAATACACCGGGCACAAAGCCTGACTCCCTTGAAGGGTGTGAAGGCCTATGGGAATGGACAGTGGGGGAGGGGCTGGCTGAGCACCTGGACCATTGGTGGGCCAGCATCCCTGATGGATGGCAGCAACTGAAGGTGACTCAGACAACCAGGAAACAGGTGCCAGACTCAAATCACTGCAAACTACAACTCCTTGCTCCTCCCTGCTCTACAGAGCTGGGCTGCTTTCTGGCCTGGCTCTCAGCACCAGCTGTCCATCTGGCTGGCACAGCCTTGTACCGTATCACCTCCCACCCATCTTTCCAGAGATCACCAAGTGCTTCCACAGGACACCTCCCCCAAACCACCCACAAGAGCCGTTGCTGGGCTCCAAGGACCCATGTGTCATCTGTCTCCACAGCAGCCTCACCACAGCACCCACCACTCCTGACACATGGGACCCAGGGCTGCAGCAGACCAGCTAGAAAGATTAGTCACACCATCACACACAGACCCCCCTCAAGTTAACACCCAACAGTGTTCTGCAATTTCTAAGTCCTGTTCCCACTTTGTAGATATCTAATGCTGAGTGTGACTTTTCAAAGGACACATGCCCACCCTATGCAGATGGGAGACTCTGCCCTGATCCACCACAGGGAAGCAGGCTACCCAAGCTGAATATCCCCAAGTCAGGCCAAGTCCTGGCCACTTATGTGAGGTCCTCAGCACAGGGCCTGGCCAGTGTCTGCGGCTCTGACTGCCTTTCTCCTTGCATAAAAAAGTAACACTGATGACAGGCGTGTTGGTACACACCTTTAACCCCAGCACTCCAGAGGCAGAGGCAGGTAGAGCTCTGTGAGTTCCAGGCTAGTCTGGTCTACACAGCGAGTCCCAGTCCAGCTAGGGCTGCATGTCTCAAAAACAACAACCACAAAACCCCCCAAAGCTACTCCAAACAGCATGTCTGTCATGGCCATGTTACCATTTTAAATACACTCCTAATCCTCCTAACTGATTCTTGAGGAAATTATATATTATTAATTAATAATGAGTTTACTGTGTGAGCTCATGCCATTTTGGAGAGGGTCTCGTGAAGCCTAGGCTGACTTAAAAAAGTTTCTGGGTAGATGAAGATGGCCCTGAGTTTGACCATCCAGCCTCCACCTTGCAGGTACTGGGATTACAGTGTATACCAGGTTGTATGTGGCAGTGAGGACAGAATCCAGGGCTCCATGCCTGCTAGGTAAATAATTGGCCACACCCCTAGCCCTACTTGGTGTTTCGTTTGTTTGTTTTAGACAAGGTCTCAGACTGTAGCCCAGGCTGTCACCCTGTCCTGGAAGTCACTCTGGAGCCCAAGCACATGACGACTCAGGGCAGTCCTCTTGCCTCAGTCTCCTGGGCACTGGGGTCACAGGGATAAAGTCACCACATCCAGCCGAAGGACATGGTAAATGGTCACAAAAACAATGCATCAAGCCACATGCCAGGCTCTAGTCAGAGTAAACCTTACTACCTGTGAAATGCACCCCTTTCACAGATGGGAAAGTTGAGTCTCAGAGAGGGTAAACATCTCAAATGAGGGCAAGTGGCTTGCCACCAGCCTCCAGAACACCATGTGATGTTATCTCAGCACCCCTGTCAAGCTCTTAGCACCACCTGCCAAGGTATCCCCTACACCTAGGTCTCTCTGAAAAGAGGCAAGTAGACTCAGGCTTCACTCTGTTGACTGTAGCAACATGAGGCACGCGTGTGCCTCTCCAGCCACACCGCAAAGAGGCCCCTGAAGAACAAGAATGCAACAAAGCCTCTGTCCTACTGAACTCAAGCAGCAGAGAACATAGTACAGGGTCACCATGTCAGTGTTCATGTGTACTGGGGGCATGTCACAGCTCCACAGCTTAACTTGCTTGCTGTCCTTCAGGCTGTCTATCTCCAGAGCCTCTGCTTCCCCAGGAATAAACAGGTGGAACCCCTCTCCTGGACTGCTGTCACACTGTAGGGACAGCCTAAGGCCCTAGAGACCCACAAGGCACAGGGATTCTTCAGTAACAGTGACAACAGGAACACTCCCCAGGGGAGGCCGGGTAGACTCTAGAGACCATGCACATACCTCTGCTTCCGGCAGATGGCCAGGTAGAGGTATAGAAAGGCAAGCACGGCCAGGCCCTCGGTGCCGACACCGTCCTCAGGTAGGCCTGCCACCTTCTTCAGTTTCTCCAGTTGCTCTGGGGTGGGTGCCGGACCATCACCTTGCTCTGTCAGAAGGCAAAAAGACAGGCAGGTGAGGGAGACTGTAGGAGCGTTTATAAACCACAGAACACACAGGGATCAGCATGGGGATAAACAGGGTCCCCTTCCAGTTTGGGGAGTAGGCTGCCTTAGGTTCAGGTCTTGACTGTGAAGGTAAAGACCAGCACTCAGGACTCAGCATGGCTCCCAGCCCTGAGCAAGTGCTGAAATAACAAACAGTCTGAGTACACACTATGCAGAGGCCTTCTCTTCACCTTCCAGCCTTCCAAACCAGAGGGAGCAGTGAGTTAATCCCCAACTAGTTCCCTCTCTCTCAAAGTCAATTAGCAAAAAGACTAGACATGTAGGTAAGGCCCTCACTTAGCATGTGCCAGGTCCTGGGGTCTACACACACACACACACACACACACACACACACACACACACACACACACACACACACACACACGGGGGGGGGGGGCGCGGGGGGGGGGGGAGGGTTAGCAGGAGGAATGGAGAGGGGTGTGTTAGGAAGTTCAGGGCACCTGCTAAGGGCTCGGCACATGTGTGCTGAACAGATTCATGAGGGCCAAACCAAGGGGTCAAGGAGACTCTGGCCTTGTAGAGTTCTGTGATGGAGACAGACTCATCCTGGAGGTGCAGCCTATAAGCCTCCACTGGAGATGAGCGGTCACCTGCTTTGGAAACTACCAGTGGAGACCACGCTTGGCTCATGGACTGGCACATGTGCTCGCTCTGCCTGTCACTGTGTGGAGGGAGCAGTAACAGCCAGTCTCCAAGGAGTACCTGTAGTCTCCACAGAGGCAGACTTAAAGCCCTGGCACCAACCCTTATCCTGCTGGGTTTCCACAGCGGCTGTCAGACATATCACACACCCCTGCTCCCAGGCCTGGCATCAAGCCTTGCCCAGCCTTGCCAATGGGTTTGTGTGTTCTCGGCCATGAGTTACCATGCCTGGCTGCCACTGCTTCAGAAACTGACTCGGAAGAGCAGTTGTTGGTGCTAAGGGATGTTCTGCCCTACTGACTGACGCCATGGAAGGCAAGTCCCAGAGGCTCTGAGTTGAGGAGGGTGCAGGAGTCACCCAGGGAACTTCTTGCAAAATATAGTCAGTTCCCACCACCTGCACTAGTGGGAATATAGTCAGTTCTCACCACCTGTGCCAATCTTCTACAGGAGAGAGGCAAGGCCAGGAACCCAGATAACACAGAAAAAAAGAACAAAGCCCCAAGCCAATTCCGAGGCCCGGCAGGTAGAAAAGAACCACTCTAGACAGATAGCCCTCACCCTCTATCCTTCTATTGGATATCCTTCAAGCCCAGGTCTCCACTTCTGAGCCACAGCCCAAAGCTTTCACCAGCATACCATCTCTGGTGGCAGGTGACAGGGCTCGGGTGTAGGCTGGAAGTAGTCCCTGGGCGCTCTCCCTTGCTCTGGGGTGGCTGAAAATGCTATTTCCTATGCGGAGAGGCATGAGCTGGAGAAGTGGGAGCACCCTGGGTTCAGGCGTCCTGCTGACAGAAGGGAACTAGTCTGGACAGGTTATAACCCAAAATAAACCCAGAGCCCTTAGCGGGTGACCTGAACTTCCTAACACCACTCTTCCCATGCCACAAGCAGCAGCAGCAGCAGCAGCACAGGGACCCTGTGCTAACGACATGGGAAGACAGTGCTGCCACCCCAAAGAAGAGCATGGTATGGTCCCACTCTGTTTCAGAAACAAGGAATTTCCCTTTCTCAGTCGATCTAACGTTCCCTCTCCTTAAGTCAATCCTGACCAGCAGATGCCAGAATGCCCAGGCTGCTACTGGGGGAGCTGAAGCAATGAGGTGTCTATCACCTCATGTTGTCCCGGACAGTCCTCTGAGCCAAGCAGCCACCATCTTGGGGAGTTCAGCAGCATCCCTTTGCAAAAGCAATTATCCCAGCTGGGCTTGTTGACTGTGCAGCCTGTCAGAGAGGTGTGGGGATGTCACAGGGCCCTCACCTGAACATCTAGGGTTTTCCTACCACCTGCTGTATGTAATTCCGCCCTAGCTGTACATGGCTTTGGGGAGAGTCTAGGGTAGATAGGCTGGAGGAAGGGAGCTCCAACTATGTGACTACAGGAGAGGCATCATTTGTGTTGGGTGAAGACTTTCTGGTGAGGCCTTTATGTGGGGACACCCACACTCCAATAAGTAACCCCGACCTATGCTCGTTAAGGAAGCCTGATGAACTCATTGGTTCTCCACAGTGAACTCTGGTGGAACTGTGCCTGGGTTTGTTGTTGGGACCTTAGGAGGAGGATAGATGTCATTTATGTTTCCCCAGGAAGGAATTTTAGCAACACTTCATTAGTATTGATTGGATTTTCAGGTAATAAACATGTTACTTTGACTTTTTAAATAATTTTTAGCGGTGCTGGAGATTAAACCCAGGGGCAGCCGGGTGGTGATGGTGCACACCTTTAATCCCAGCACTTGGGAGACAGAGGCAGGCGGATCTCTGTGAGTTTGAGACCAGCCTGAACTACAAGAGATGGTTCCAGGACAGGCTCCAAAGCCACAGAGTCATGAAAGTGCCCCCCCCCCCCCCCCCCCCGCCAAAAAAAAAAAAAAACAAAAACAAAACCAAAATAAACCCAGGAGCCTCACATAAGCTAAGGATACACTCCACCGCTGGGCTACGGTGGCTCCATGCTCAGTAACAACTATCCACTGAAAATACAATCGAATGATCTACTTCCTGTCACAGCATCTTCCCCAGCTACTAATCACCGTTGACAACTGGTGTCTCCTCCCTGAGACTTTCCTACACACTGGCTTATATAAGTAGGCACACAGTTTTACACTTGTGACAGTTACCTCTTTGGTTCTCTTTTATCTTATTTTGTTTGACACGGTCTCATGTAGCTCAGACTGGCCTCAAACTTACCATACAGCTGAAGCTGTTCTGGAATTCCTGATCCTCTGGCCTCCATCTCCCAGGTACTGGAAATATACTAGTTAATATTGGTAGGATTTAAAGCCACCTAGGAAGCACACCTCTGGGCAGGTCGATGAGGGCCTTTCTAGAGATGTTAAAATGCATGTGACAATAGCCCAGGGGTCAGGGTTCTAGACTGAATAAAGGGGAGAAATGGAGCTGCGCACCAGTATCCATTCATCTCTCTCTGCTTGACTGCAGAGGCAATGTGACCAGCCAGTTCACACTCCAGCCACGAGCAGGATAGGTGACGTTCAGATGGACAGCCAAAATACACCCTCCCTTAGGTCGCCTTTGTTATAGCAACAGAAGGGTAATGGATACAACACCTGAAGGTTTTTACTCAACATGGGCCTGAATGATCTGCCCACAACAGTCTAGAGATCTAGGGCACAGTTTTATGTGTTTAAAATGACTAGCTGTGTGGTAGCGCACACCTTTAACCCCGGCACTTGAGAGGCAGACATAGGTGGTCTCTGTGAGTTTCAGGGCAGCCTGGTCTACAGAGTGACTCTGTCACAAACAAAATTAAATCAAATACTAAATGAATGAAGCCAATTTTCTGGGGTCAGAAGAAAAGCCTGTTGGGACAGCTATTCTCTGACTCCCTCACAGACAGCCTGAAGCCACTTACACTTTCCCCCCACCCCCCACCCCCC